TGTACTTAAAATGTATTTCTAACTATTTTTAAAATATATTAAAATATATTCCAACTATATTTAAATTAATATTTAAAATATTTATTCTTGTTAAAAATTTCGTATTATTCGATAAAATGTTATTTCTTGCAAAAAAAAAAATATTTCAAAATATTTTTTACGTTTTTAATAAAGTAAATATTTATTTAAAAAAACTCTCTCATTCAATCAATTTGTTTCTCCTCACTAAATGTTATATAGATGAAATTTATTAATTTCAACTGCACATACTTTAATATGAAATATGAGTTTTAATCGCTATTTCGATATATAAAAAATGAAAAGAAACAATTTTTTTTAATATATTTGTAAAAAAAATATTTTTATAAATTTGCAAAAATACGAAAAAAAAAATAAAAAAGTTTTAAAAATTCTTTCTTTGGAACATTTTTTAACAAGCATTACGAATGGGATATTTCAATACGAGTAAATAAATAAATAAACATTCATTAAATTTCAATATTTGCGAATAAAATAATTAACATTTCAGTGCTTAATACATTTACAAATATCAAAAATATTTCTCTCTTAATAAAGTAAAATAAAATTTTCTGCCTTTGATAATTTTTAAAATTTTTCCATAAATTAAATATAATTCAAGTACGAAATTTGAAATAATTTCAACAGAAATTAAAATTTGAATTATATAAAATTGAAAACTGGAATTTACAATACACTTTCTAATTAACATAAATAAAGAAAATTATTTTTTTAATATAAATATAAAAAGAAAATTTGTAAATAGAAGAGAAATTAAATAGAAAAAAAAAATTAAAATAAAAAAAAAACAAAAACAGAATTCTAAAAGAACGTTTAAAAAAGGAAAAATTAAAAAATTTATAGAATAAAAATATCTAAAGAATCGCTAAATTCTATGCTTATTTCTTTTAAATTTTTTATTTATTTAATTTTACCTTTGCTCAATGTACACTGGCAGTGCTTTTTTTTCTATTCTCAACTGGTGAATAATACTATCCAAAAATAAAAATCACATTGTCACTAAATATTTCACGAAGGAAAAAATCAAAAAGAAATCTAATTTGTCTCCATGATAATTTGTGTGAAATTTTGTTTTTTCATTAAAAAAAAAAATAAAGCAAAAAGGAAAAAAAAAATTCCCCAGAAAAGGGGGAAATTTAAATTTGGTCACGTTTCAGGCTTTCGGCCAATGCAAAAGCGAATAAACTCGTACTATATCACGTTTCGTGTTGTTTTCGTAAAAGCCGGCTTATTTCTACTATCACCGTCACAAAATAACACACCCACTATGAGAGTCACCGCGACACTGAATAGCGTGCGCAATTCTCTAACTCTAAAAGCTCCTCGTAGTCGAGCATTTCCCGAATCGAACCGAACTACACCGAAAGGGAAAGGATTATTTTCAAATAAAAAAAGCTTTATATCTTCATTCACTTTTTTGTGTGTGTGTGTGTGTGTGTGTGCGCAGTTTTCTATAGTCTACTCTCAATCAAAGATAATTAACGTTACTTTTATTGTTTCAATTTTATTATTAAAATTATTGTAAATTATTATAAATTATTTTTGCTAATCAATTTTATAATTACAATTAATTATTAAATTAACTATCTAAAAATAGCTTAAATTAAATAATAAATATATAATTATAATTTATAACTTTAATATAATTTATTTTAAATTACAAAAAATATATATTTAACAAAATAAAATAAATAAGAAGATTAATTAATTAATAAATTAATATAAATCAGTTATTAAAAGAAAACTTTAATTAAAAAATTCGTTTACAATAAGAATTTTTATTTAAACGAATTTATATTTTTATTTTGAATTTTATTTAACAATTTTAGTTAAACGAAACTTTTTTTAAAAAAATGTTAAGCAGGATTGCAACAAAAATTTAATTTTGTTTTTCCCTGATTTCCAGAGAGAATTTTGACAATTTCCTTGACCCTGAAGAATATTCTGATTATAATTTTTTCTTAGAAAATAAAATTTTCAAAAATATTAAACTTTAAATCTTTTTAAAATTCAATAACTTATAAGAATATTATTATAAAACACGAAGATATCAATTACTCGGAGTCTTCGACTCGAAGTGATTGACTTCTTCATGTTTTTATAATATTAATAATTAAATATTAAAGATACTCCAGTGATAAAATTATTATTTTATATAAAAATGTTGTTACTCTAACTTCTTCGAAATTATTTTCATGATTTAAATTCAATTAATATTTTCTAGAATTTTTAACTACAATTCTTCTTTAAATTAATTTTTATTAGTTAATAGAACAAAAAATTTATAATTCCAAATATTTAAATTTTAAACCTTTTAAAAAATCAATTATTTCTAAAAATTCATACTTTAATGCTTTTAATATTAAATTATAATCAAAAAATTTTAACTGAAATTCATTTTGAAATAAATTTTTATTAGAAAATTTTACAAGAAATTAATTATTTAAATACAAAAGGAAATAATTTTATTATTGAATTTTATTATTAAATAGTTGTTTGTTTCCTAAAATTGAATTTTTATGAAGAATTTTATTAATAACTTTTCAAAATATTTAATTTCTTTTAAGAAATTTAATAAAAATGTTACAGAAATTTATTGAATTAAAGAATTTTATCACAATTTTTGAAAATAATTGAAAACTTTTGAAGAATTTTATTAAAATTTTTAAAAATAATCGAATTCCTGAGAAGAATTTAATTAATAATTAATGAAAATAATTGAATTCATGAGAAGAATTTGATTAAATTTTGCTTAAACAATTGAAATTTTGCCAAGAATTTTTCAAAAATTTTGAAAATAATTTAATTTCTACAAAGTATTTTATTACTTTTCAAAAGAATTGAATTCTCATGATGAATTTTGTTATTTATCAAAATAATTGAATTTTGGAAAAGAATTTTATTAAAATTCCTTAAAATAATTGATTTTCTGCGACGAATTAAAAGTTTTTTTTATGAAAATATTTGAATTATTGCATCGAATTTTTATTATTTTATTGAATAATTGAATGTTTCTTAAAATTGAATTCTTTTGTCAAGTTTTAATAAAATTTTTAAGAATAATTGCATTTTTCGAGGAATTTATTTAAAATTGTATTAAAAACATTTTAAATTCTGCGATGAAAATAATTGAATTGTATCAAAAATTATTTTCAATAATTACATTTTTAAATAAATTTTATGAAAATAGTAAATATAAAGATAATTGAATTAGGGGAGAGTGGGGCAAAATGGGGTACCTTTTTGAAATTGGCTGTTTACAGAGAACCAAACGAATAAATCGATTCAGCTAAACTTCAGAATTCTTCTTTGTACACTTGGCTTTGAGGAAATTATGACAATAGCGGAGAAAAAAATTTTTGAAAGAACTTATATCGTATTTTCTAAGAAAGTGCTAAAATCCCATTTTGCCTAACCCGTGGGGCAAAATGGGGTGGCATCAAATAACTGTACAAAACATTGAATATTTTTTCAAAATTCATTAAATTCTTGTTGTATGAGATTATAAATATGAACAAAAAGTAGGATATTTTATTACTATGAAAAAACAAGTAATATTTATTAGAATTTAACAAAAAAACATGGATTTTTGCAAAATATCGATATATCGATAATGAAACATCGATAGTATAAATGCCTCGAAGCAAAAATATCGATTCTTTTGCAGGAAACCTTTAAATATGCATAATATAATGTTTTTAAATAGTTTTAATGGAACGGCGTAGCTTCCGCTCTCTAAATCTGAATATGTGAAATTTCACTTATTGTACGTTATAAGTCGTCCTCTCGATCAATAAGTGCATATACACTTATAAATAAGTGAATTTTTCACTTATTCTGAGTGAAATTTCACTTATTATAAGTGTATATGCACTTATTGATCGAGAAGACGACTTATAACGTACAAATATGTGAATTTTCACATATTCAGATTTAGAGAGCGGCATGCCCCACACTTAGGTACCCCATTCTGCCCCACACTGCATATTAAAACAAAATGCAATGTTTACAAGTTATTGTAAACAATGAAACAATCTATTCTACTGGAAATTACTCTAGAATAAGTACTGAAAAAGATCCCACACTTGCCAAATTAAATGCATTAACCCAAAAAGTTTGGTAAGCACTTTAATTTTGAAAAAAATTCATATTTTTTTTGCTTAAAACTTAAAAGTTGTATAACTTTCAAAAAAAAATTTTCTTTCGGGTGTCTTCATAATTAATAACAGTTTCTTATCAACATGAATGATATATGTCGAGGTTAAAAAAATTAAAAGTACCTATCATGGAAAAACAGAGGTACCCCATTTGACCCGCCTACCCCATTTTGCCCCACTCTCCCCTATTGGCGAGATATTCGTTACAATTTTTAAAAATAATTCAATTTCTTCGAAGAATTTTATTACTTTTGAAAATAATTGAATTCTCATGATGAATTTTGTTATTTTTCAAAATAATTGAATTTTGCAAAGAATTTTAATAAAATTCCTAAAAATAATTTAATTTATGTAAAGTTATTTTTTATATTTTTATTTTCATAACTAAAATTTGTGCGGATTTTTATAATTCACACAAATTAAATAGAAATTTCGCCTCAGATAAAATAAAATAGAAAAATTCTCCTAAATTAAATTTATAATGTACTATAAAAATATTTTAAATATAAATAATAAAAATTTAATCAATACATTTTTCATGTAAATTATAAAATTTCCTTAATAGAAATTTCGTCCAAAAATCTAATAAAAAAATTTCTCCAAAATTAAATTTATAAAAAATGTTTTCCCACTTAAAAAAAAATAAAAGTTCACTTTTAAAATTTAATTAACTTAAATTTTTTTTTCTGCGATGAATACATTCTTTAAATTTTTCCGCCTCTAAAATTATATAATCTTCAGACAAATTAGCTCCCCTTTTAATCGCTAATTTCACGTCTAAATTAAAGGTTGTATTTCAAAATAATGAAATTATAGTAATTTCTCTCTCTCTATCTTACTAAGAAACAAGACAAAGAATAAAGAAAGCAAATAATATTCATGATTAATTGGAAAATTCAAAACGTAACCTTTATCACAGTGTATAGAAAGTGTATAAGGTAAATAGTTTATTTTCATTTTTTTATATCTTTTAATTATAATATTGTTGACACAATTTCCTTCAGTCGCCTCAAGGGCACTGATTGAAGAACATTTAACAGACTTTAATCTCGTGTTTCAATATTTGTAAAATAATCTCATAAAACTTTGCAAAAATTTTTCTCAAAACTTTTATCCATCTAAAAATTAGGTTATGTTTGATTAAAATTACCAAAATTATATTTTTGCAAATTGGCATAAAAATTTATTATTAATAAATCAGGTGTAAAAAATTAAAAATTTACGTAAAGATAAATTATTTATTATTATTTTTTTATTATTAATAATTAATAACTAATAATTAATAAAAAAAATTATTAGATTTTAGATTTATTTCTCCACGTAAATCTTCTTGAATTTAGGTACTTATTTATTTCTGTAAACTGATAGATAATTAATGTTATTGTTATAATTATTATTAATTATTATTATCAAAATTATTTATTTATTTAATTTACTTATTAATTTATTTACTTATTATTTACTTCTATAAACGGGTAGATAATTATTGCAATTATTATTAATTATTATTATAATTATTATTAATTATTATTATAATTATTATTAATTATTATTATAATTATTATTAATTATTATTATAATTATTATTAATTATTATTATCATAATTAACATTATTTATTTATATGTTTACTTGTTTATTTATATATTTATAATTTTTACTTGCTTATTTATTTATTTATTCATTAATTTACTTATTCATTTATTCATTCATTTATCTATTCATTTAATTGTTTATTTATTTAGGCACTCATTTATTTATTTACTGATTTATTTCTATAAATAAATAGACAATTATTTTTATTGATATTATCATAATTACAATCATTATCATTTAATGTTGATATTTATATATGAAAATAAAAGAGAATTTTTAAAAAAAAGGTATAATTATAATAAAAGTTTCCGCGCTCAGAAAAAATGTGTAAAATATTTTACAGTGGAAAATAAAATATAACTAATTTACGGAAATAAAGATAAAAACGGGTATTTTTCAGAACAAGCTTAATACTGTCACTGTAGACACGTTGGTATGTTCAACCCTTTTGCTTCAAGGGGAAAACGCAGTTATTCTGTTTGCACTTTCAACGGTAGTCATATAATTAACAATTAGCTCCCCCGTCGCGCTCCATAGTCGTGACTCGTAAATTGTAATTTTTTTTTCTTTTCTTTTCCTTCTCTTTTTTATTTTGCCACATATGTATGTATATATATGTATACGTGCAACCAGTTGTCATGGTCCCTTATACAATATAATTCCATAACTATATTCTCTCTATGTACATCTGAGGAATGTCGTGGTTATAATTCTCATCTTCAAATACCTCATGATTATCATCTTTCTCCCAAGCATATGACAAAAAAAACTAAAGTGCCGACAATTTCTCAATATATGCCACGACAAAACGAAATTGTATACTTTCATTTTTACTGTTTAAGCAATTAATTTTTTTTTTTTTGCGATTATGAAAAGAAATTTTATGAGTCAGGAGTTTTATTAATTGTTTAATTGTTTATGTTAATATTTTTTTTATTTATTTACTCACTCATTCCATTTATTAGAGAAAAATTTTTTATTATAACAACAAGATTAAAATTTCTGGTCTTAAATTTTAAATTAGAAATGGCTAATTTTTATGGCAATAACCCAGGTGCGAATTTTGGTCGGCCGCCAGAGTTGGAAGGTCGGGCGCAGGTCGGCCCATCTATGGCTGCCAATAGGTCGGCAGCCAAAGTCGGGCCGACTTTGGTTACTGTTTCCACCCAAGTTTGGGCCGACTATGGGTGCCAAAGTTTATAGAACCTAATTTTAGTTGGTCGGGCCGACTCTGGCCTCAGTCGGGCCGATGGTCGGTAAAACTATGGCAGCCAGAGTTTAAAAAGGTTAATTTCTGTTGGTCGGGCCGACTTTGGCCTGAGTCGGGCCGATGGTGGGTTAAACTATGGCAGCCAGAGTTTAAAAAACCTAATTTCAATTGGTCGGGCCGACTCTGGCCTGAGTCGGGCCGACGGTCGGTGAAACTATGGCAGCCAGAGTTTAGAGAACCTAATTTTAGTTGGTCGGGCCGACTTTGGCCTGAGTCGGGCCGATGGTCGGTAAAACTATGGCAGCCAGAGTTTAAAAAGGTTAATTTCTGTTGGTCGGGCCGACTTTGGCCTGAGTCGGGCCGACGGTCGGTAAAACTATGGCAGCCAGAGTGCAAAAAACCTAATTTCACTTGGTCGGGCCGACTTTGGCCAGAGTCGGGCCGATGGTCAGTTTGAAGTTGCAGCTTATAAAATCATTTTTGTTCTTAGGCTTTCATGTAAGCGTAGCGTAATGGTTAGCGTGTTAGACTTCGGTGCGTTAGGTTGCGAGTTCGATTCCTGCGAGCGTTAGAAATTTTAATTTGTATTTATGTGTAAGATTGCGTTTAGTGTTAAGATGTATACAATAAACAAATAAATAATGAATAATAATAATTAATAATAATAATAAATAATTAATAATTTTTTGCAATCGGTCGGCCGACTTTTGGCTGCCAAGGTCGGCACGACCAAGGTTGCCAAAGTGAATCCGACCTTCTTTCTCATGGTCGGCAAAGCTTTGGCACCCCTGGTCGGCCCGACTTTGGCAACCATAGTCGGCACGACCATGTCAGCCACTGGACGGCGGGTGTTACAATTCGCTAGTTCGGCCGACCTTTGGCTGCCAAGGTCGGCACGACCATGGTTGCCAAAGTCAAGCCGACATTCTTTCACATGGTTGGCAAAACTTTGGCACCCCTGGTCGGTCCGACTTTGGCAGCCATAGTCGGCCCGACCATGTCAGCCACTGGACGGCGGGTGTTACAATTCGCTAGTTCGGCCGACCTTTGGTTGCCAAGGTCGGCACGACTATCCACTTGGTCGGCGCGACCATGGCCCGACCAACTTTTCGCACCTGGGAATATATTGGGTAATAATCATAATAACAAAGTTATGACAACAATAACAATGTGTCTACTATGTTCAACAAAATTCCCGGCTTTGCCCTAATTTTTCCCGATTTTTTTCTCATAAAATTTAAATTTATTTCATTTCGAACATATAAATAAATCTACAAATGACTTTAAAAATTTTTATTAGAGTTTTTATGAATAATTAAATTCTTTTGACGAGTTTCTTTAAATTTTTTGAAAATGTTTTTTTTAATAATTTTAATTAAAAATTTGGAAAATAATTGAATTAAACAAAGAATTATTTCAATTTTTTAAAATAATCTATTCATAATTAATGTCTGTTCATAATTATAATTGAAAATTTGATTATGTCAATTTAATTAAAATTTATTGATACTAATTGAATTTCTGCAAAGAATTTTACACTATTTATAAAAGTTATTCGTTCAAAAGTGTAGTAAACATAATGCAATAAATATAAAAATGACATTTTCCCATAGTTAAATAAAAAGAAAATTTTCTTTTGTCAAACAATTTTCATTCTGCTAAAAGAGATTTTCGTCACTGTTTTCCTTTCGAGTCTCCATCATCCAAATTTTAATTCAACTTTCAGCGAAAGAATAAATTGATAAAGTGTCTTCTCTTCTCTTTTCACTTCTCGTCTTGTTATTTTCTTTTCTTTTTTCTACATTTCACGGGGAAATTGTTCTCGCTCATTTTGCCCTTCCCACACGCACCTAATTTCACTTTCATTTTCGCGCCATCATACTATGTATACTATGAAAAGGAAATTTGGATTATAAAGTTACTTTTTAGACACGAGGTTGTCATCCCTCTTCAGAAAATGAACTTGAACAAAAGAAATAAAGGAGAACGGATAGAGAAATAAGAGAAGTGAAGTCGTTGTGTCCTCTAAAACTGTTTCTCCAGACTCTCTCTCTCTCTCTCTCTCTCTCTCTCTCTCTCTCTCTCTCTCTCTCTCTCTCTTCACGATAAAGACCCAAGGGATTCTGAATTTTCAACTCACCTCTCAACAACGAAACTTTTGTATTTGGATATATGTCACATGTCCTAAAACTGTGAGGAAATGTTTCCCTTCGAAACACCCTTGAGAATAATTTAGACTTTTAGAGAGGGTAGATCAGTTCTAAAGTTTTCCCTTGTTATCTCATATATTATTATTTCTAACCAAGATAAAAGATAAGAAAACTTTGATTTAAACTCTTTTTCGAAAAGAAAATTCGAAATATTATATTCCAAAAAAAAATGTTACTTCAAATAGGAAAAAGTGTGAGGCAAAATGGGTACATACTAAAAAAAGTAATTTACTATTTCCAAAATTGATTCAATTCAATTCATTTTGAGAATAAATTCTTTCTTCTTCAGTTCCATAAAAGTGACAAATAAAATTAAGTTTGTCAATGATTACATCATTTTTTTCATAAGACCACTTTTGTTGATAAAATAAAAAATAACATCTTCAGGGCATTTTTACATTTGTTTAAACAATAGAGAGATTTTTTGTTGAGCATAAAATTCATTTGGCATAAGTATCATTTGACAATTGCCAAAAATTCATTTAACATAAATTTCATTTGACATAAAACTCATTTAGCATTGTTCCCATTGAATAATCATTTGATATTTTCATTTAACATATAAATTTCATTTTGACTGAATAATAGTTATTTATTGACATAAAATTTCATTTGGCATAAATTTCATTTGACATAACATTAATTTGATATAAATGTTATTTGACACAAACATTTATTTGAAATAAAAATTATTTGACATAAAAGTCATTTATCAGAATTCTTAACTAATACATAAAAATAATTTGAGATAAATTTCATTTGACATAAAATTCATTTAACATAAATTTTATTTTAAATAAAAATTTATGCGCCAAATGAATTTTATGTCAAGTGATTTTTATGTAAAATGAAGTTTATGTTAAACGTGGTTTATGTCAAATGATTTTTATCTCAAGTGAATTTTATGTCCATTGAAAAATATGTCAAACATGAAATTTATGTAAAGAGATTTTGATCATAAATGAGTTCTTTGTTAAATGTGATTTATGTTAAATGATTTTCATGTCAAATGAAGTTTATGTTAAATGCATTTCATGTCAAGTGAAATTAATGTTAAATGAAAGTTATGTTAAATGTTTTAAATTTTTATATCAAATAGTAAACAATGTTTTTAAAAAATATGTTTCAAAAATTGTAAAAATCAAATTTTTGTAGATAAAAAAATATATTTTCTGCAAAATTGCGAATGGATTTTAAAATCTATCAATTTTTAAGAAAAATAAGAATAAAACTTTCTAATTTGAATTAGTAAAAATGTTTACTAATTTGAATTAGTGACTGACTTTTTGCTTTTGAATGAGTAAATTTTACTAATAAATAATCATTGCTACTAATATTTTAGTAAAATTTAAAAATTCAAAAGCAAAAAGTCAGTCACTAATTCAATTTAGTAAACTTATTTACTAATTCAAATTTAGAGAGAAAAATGTTCAGAATATTTTTTGACCGAATTGCCCCATTTTCCGCACAACATACATTTAATACATTTTTAAAAGTTTTCCTTTCCATTTTCGATTTTTCAGACAAGTAGAATTTTCTGCAGAAAAGAAAACACAACGAGAAACAGTTATTAGTCAAAATGGTAAGATCAGCAAGAAAACATGACAAAGCATCGGTAAACAAGTCAAATAAGCTACTGGATAATATATGGGCTCAACTTAAAGACGGAGCAGAGAGCATTTACAAAGGAGAATCTATGTCAAGTCAAAAATACATGATTTTGTATTCATGCATCTACAATTATTGTACAAATGTACAAATGAAAATACCAACAAAACCGATAAATAGTAAAAAAGGAACAGTCATTGGTGCACAAGTTTTGGGTTTTGAACTTTATACTCGTATAAGTCATTTCATTGAAAATTATCTCAATGAATTGTGCAAGGTTCTAATCAATTTTTTTTTCTTTTTTTCCCCTCATTTTTTTCGGCGAAAAATTCAATAATTACTGTTTTTTTTTCTTTTTTGTTTTTGGTGAAAAAAAGAGTGCAGACAATTTAGTGGACGAGGACATATTGGTTTTTTACACAAAACAATGGGAGGATTATCGTTTTAGTTCAAAAGTATTAAACGGAGTGTGTGCGTATTTAAATCGACATTGGGTTAGACGTGAAACCGAGGAGGGAACCAGTGGACAGATTTTTCAAATTTATCAACTTACATTGTATTTATGGAAGAAACATGTTTTTAAACAACTTGAAAAAAAGGTACGCTTTTATAAAAATAGAAAAATTCTCCTACAGGGTTGCAACAAAAAAATAATTTTTTTTTTCCTGTTCATGATTTCCAGACAAAATTTAGACTTTTTCCCTGACCCTAAAGAATGTTTTAATTGAATTATTTTTTTAAAAATTTAATAAAATTCGTTGCAAGAATTCAATTATTTTCATAAATAATAAAATTCTTCATAGGACTTCAATTATTTTTAATACAATTTTAATTAAACTATTAGAAATAATTGAATTATTTTCAAAAATTTTTTGCAACAATTAAATTACATTTCACAAATAATAAAATTCTTCGCTGAAATTCAAATATTTTCAAAATCTACTATTTATATAAAAGTCCTCAAAAGAATTCAATTATTTTTAAAAGATATAATAAAATACGTTACAGGAATTCAATTATTTTTATAAATAATAAAATTCTTTACAGGATTTAAATTATTAAAAAAAATTAATTAAATTCGTTGCACGAATTCAATTATTTTCATAAATAATAAAATTCTTCATAGAACTTCAATTATTTTTAATTTAATTTTAAGTAAATTTCTCGAAAAATGTAATTATTTTTAGAAATTTTTTGCAACAATTAAATCACATTTCACAAATAATGAAATTCTACGCTTCATTTAAAATATTTTTAAAACCTACTATATTAATAAAAGTCCTCAAAAGAATTCAATTATTTTCAAATACTTTAATAAAATTGTTCGAAAGAAAACAATTATTTTAAATACAATTATTTTAATTAAATTTTTGTGAAATAATTCAATTATTCTTTTAGATTTTAATAAAATTCTTTTCAAGAATTCAATTATTTTTACATAAATAATTCTTCGAACAAATTCAATTATGTCGATAAATAACAAAATTATTCCCGAAAATTCAATTATTTTAAGGCATTTTTATAAAATTCTTTACAAAATTCAATTATTTTCTCAAAAATAACCAAATTTTTTACAGAAATTCAATTCTATTTAAACATTTTAATAAAATTTTTCTGAATAATTCAATTATTTTTATAATTAATAAAATTCTTCACAGGATTTCAATTATTTTTAATACAATTTTAAATAAATTCCTCGAAAAATGTAATTATTTTTTTTATTAAAATTCTTCGAAAGAAATCAATTATTTTAAATTGAATTTTAATAAAATTTTTTTTAAATAATCCAATTATTCTTTTAGATTTTAATAAAATTCTTCCCAAGAATTCAATTATTTACATAAATAATTTTTATGAGAAAATTCTACTAGAATTCAATTATTTAAATACAAAAATAAATAATTTATTAAATAAATGAATTTTATCAACATAATAAAATTTTTTCGACGAATTTTAATAAAATTTTCAAGAATAATTAGCACATTTTTCGAGGAATTCGATTAAAATTGTATAAAAAATAATTGAAATTCTATGAGAAGTTTTATTATTTATGAAAATAATTGAATCTCCGTAAAAAAATTTTATTATTTATAAAAATAATTGAATTATTGCGAAGAAATGTACAAAAAAATTTTAAATAGTTCAATTCCTGTGAAATTTTTATAAAAATCTCAGTTTTCCTGAAAGATGTTCCTAAAGTTCTTAACGTTCAAAGGAACGAAATATTTTTTCATTATAAATATATTATTTTGAAAAATTACTGATTACAATAAAAATCCAGAGTATAAATTAAATATTATTAGAACAAAATTTTAATTCGAAGAAGAAAAAAATAATTTTCATTTGTTTGAACGTTCAAAACTTTAGGAGCATCTTGAAAGTTTTAAATTGAACAAAAATCGAGATCAATTTAATAATTAGATCTATATTTTTGCCATCAATTCGTTGCATTTTGATACTTTCACAATTAATTAGGGATAAGATTTAAAAAAATAAAATAAAAAAAAAATTGTTGAAAAACAAAATTGTCACTGCAAAAAATTTTCAGGTAACAGCAGCTGTGCTGCAATTAATCGAACGCGAACGTCATGGAGAATTGATAAACACTAGTTTAGTGAGTGGTGTGATTAATTGTTACATTGAATTAGGTTTAAATTCAAAATCACCGAACAGTTCAATTTATCAAAATTCATTTGAAAATCAATTCATCAATGAAACGGAATATTTTTATTTACAAGAGAGCATCAATTTATTATCAACAAATACAATAACTGACTATATGAAAAAAATTGAGGATCGTTTACAAGAGGAGGCGAAACGCGTACAAATTTATCTCAATCCATTGACTCACGAACGTCTGCAAAGAGCTTGTGAAAAAATTCTCATTGGAAAACATTTAATTGTATTTCATGCGGAATTTGAAAATCTCCTCGATACTTGGCGAATAAATGACTTGACAAGAATGTATCAATTGGTTTCGAAAATAACCGACGGCTTGGTGGAACTGAAAAGAATTTTCGAAAAATTCGTCACTGAAGATGGTCTTTCTGCTTTGGATAAATGTGCCGATGCTGCAGCTAGCGTAAGATATTGGAAGTAGTAAAAAAATAAATATTTGGGACTTTATTTTTTGTACTCTAAAAATTTCAATTAGTAAAAATATTTACTAATTCGAATTATTGCTAATTCGACATTTTGCTTTTAAATTCGTAAATTTCACTAAAAAATTAGTAGAAATTACTATTCATTAGTAAAACTATTTGCTATTTACTAATTCAAAAGCAAAAAATCAGTTACTAATTAAAATTAGTAAACATTCTTACTAGTTCAAGTTTAGAGAGTATTATGAATGTGAATTATGTTTTTTGTTAAAAATCCGAATTAGAATAAGAAATAAAATTAAAAAATCTGATAAGAATCATTCAAATGCATGTTTATAATGAATTTTTCAGGATCCGCAATTGTTCACGAAGAAAGTATTGGAAATTTATGAAAAGCATAATTCTCTAATTACCGAATCGTTTAGTAATGATAACGGATTTCAATCAATGTTGGATAGAGCTTGCACTCGTTTTATCAACAACAATGCCATCACTAAATCATCAAAAACATCCAGCAAGTCCTCGGAATTATTAGCTAAATACTGTGATTTACTTTTGAAAAAGAGTAGCAAAAATCCGGAGGAAAATGAATTAGAAGATGCTCTCAATCAAGGGGTAAGAATATCAAAAATCTATTTTAAAAAAAAAATCGATTCTCTGTAAGTATTTATTATTTAACAAAAAAAACAGGCTTCGCACTCATCTACTAAAACCTATACTATTTACTACTTTTTTTACGTTAAAATACTATTTCGGTTCTTTTTTAGATTTTAGATACAAAAAACTATACTATTTCTGTTTTTTTCGAATTTCCACAATTTTAAATTCGCTAATACTAGAAATTAAAAAACTATTCTCAAAAATTATAATCCAATTCTTTAAAACGATTCAATAATTTTCAAAAAATATTCAAAATTCAATTCTTTTCATTACCTAGTATTTTCATAAAATTTCGCAAAAGAATTCAATTATTTAAAAAAAAAAAAATTAATAAAATTCATCAAAAATTCAATTAATTTAGATTTAGAATAACATTTTCACAAAAATTTCAAAAAAAATCAATTATTTAAGAAAATTTTTATACAATTCTTCACAATAATTTAATTACTTTCACTAATAATAACATTTTTCATGGAAATTCAATTTTAAAAAAAAAATTTGATAAAATTCTAATTAAAAATTCAATTATTTTCATAAATAATAAAACTCCTCGAAGAATTTCAATTATCTTTAATATTATTTTTAATTAATTAAGAAATTCAATTCTTTTCATAAATAATAAAATTCTTCTCAGGAATTCAATTACTTTTGAAAAGATTAATAAAGTTTTTAGCAACTATTCAATTATTTTTATTAATAATAAAATTCATCGCAGGATTTCAATTATTTTTAATACAATTTTACAGGAATTACTCAAAAAATGCAATTATTCTAAAAATTTAATTTCAATTCCTCGAAAAAATCAATTATTAAAATTTTTTTTAATTCATTGGAAGAATTAAATTATTAAGAAAATATTAGAATTTAACACAGGAATTCAATTATTTTCAAATATTTTAATAAAATTGTTCGAAAGTAATCAATTATTTTAAATATAATTTTAATTAACATTTTTGAAATAATTTAATTATTCTTTTAGATTTTAATAAAATTCTTTCCAAAAATTTAATTATTTACGTAAATAATTATTCGAAAGAATTGAATTATGTCAATAAATAAAAAAAATTATTCCCAAAAATTCAATTATTTTGAGGCATTTTTATAAAATTCTTTGCAAAATTCAATTATCTTCAAAAATAACAAAAATTTTTCGCAGAAATTGAATTTTTTTTAAACATTGTAATAAAATTCCTTACAATAATTAAATAATTTTCATAAATAATACAATTCTTCTCAGGAATTCAATTATTTTTGAAAATTTTAATAAAATGTTTAGCAACTATTCAAATATTTTTATTAATAATAGAATTCATCACAGGATTTCAATTATTTTTAAAACAATTTTACAGAAATTGCTCAAAAAATGCAATTATTCTAAAAATTTAATTTCAATTCCTCAAAAAAATGAATTATTTTAAATACAATTTTAATAAAATTCTTCTCAAGAATTCAATTATTTAAATAAATATTTCTTCGAAAGAATTCAATTATGTCGATAAATAAAAAAAATTATTCCCGAAAATTCAATTATTTTAAGGCATTTTTTAAAATTCTTTGCAAAATTCAATTATTTTTAAAAAGAACAAAATTTTTCACAGAAATTTAATACTTTTTGAAAATTTTAATAACATTTTTTGCAATAATTCAATTATTTTCATAAATAATAAAATTCTTCTCAGGAATTTAATTATTTATAATACAACTTTACAGGAATTGCTCAAAAAATGTAATTTTTCTAATAATTTAATTTCAATTTTTCGAAAAAATCAATTATTTAAAAAAAATATGTTTTTATAATTTTTTGTAAGAATTCAATTATTTAAAAAAATATTTGAATTTTTCACAGGAATTCAATTATTTTAAAATATTTTAATAAAATTGTTCGAATGAAATGAATTATTTCAAATACTATATTATATTAAATTTTTTTGAAATAATTCAATTATTCTTTTATAGATTTTAATAAAATTGTTCCCAAGAATTCAATTATTTACTTAAATAATTTTTGGGAAGAATTCAATTGTGTCGATTAATAAAAAAATTATTCCCGAAAATTCAATTGTTTTGAGGCATTTTAATAAAATTCTTTGCAAATTTCAATTATTTTCATAAATAACAATATTCATCACAAGAATTCAATTATTTTTAAAAGTAGGTAATAAATTTCTTCTTAGAAATTTAATTATTTTAAAAAATTCTAATAAAATCATTCGCAAGAATTCAATTATTTTCATAAAAATAATTTTTTTACAAAAAAAATGTAATAAAATACCACACAGACATTCAATCAATATCAGAAATTTTAATAGAATTTTTAAAATCTTTTTAAAATTAAATGATTTTTAATATCTACTATTTTCATAAAATTTCCAAACAGAATTTAATTATTTAAAAAAATTTTTGTAAAAATTTTTTAAGAATTCAATTCTTTCATAAATAATAAAATTTGTTGCAGGAATTCAATTTATTAGCAGGATGCGAAAGAAGTAAATATTTTTTATGAAAATTAGGAAAAGTCAGGAAAATAAAATATAGAATGTAATTTTTGTCAATTTTGTGAAGTGTCTAAAACGAGTTTTTTTTGTCGTCAAGTTTAATTTTTCGATAGCTACTTTTTTACTACTTTTTTAGTTTGAAAGCTACTTTTTCCTACTTTTTTAAAATTAAAAAACATTTTAAATTAAATTTTTTTAAATTATCGTGTGCGAAGTCTGAAAAAGAATTTCCAAAAATTGATTCTTTTTATAGAAAGAATCAAGTTTTGCACAGAGAAAAGCGAGTGTTGTTTTTGATGCGGGTAAATTTTGGTAGGGTAATTTTAGTGAGGATAAATTTTCTATAATAGAAAATTTACCTTATTTTCAGTGTTAAAATAACACTTCCGAGCTAAAGTTTGATGCAGACACTTTTAACACCGAATTCAGTGTTAAAATAACACTCACTTTTTTCTGTGTGTAGAAATTCTTTTCTACAGAAATAATATATTTTAAATAAAATAATTATTTTCCAAATTATTCGTTCTGTGTACAGATGATAATCTTCAAGTACTTGGAAGATAAGGACGTATTTGAAAAGTACTATTGCAAATTTTTGGCAAAACGTCTAATAAATCAAATGTCAGCGAGCGATGACGCTGAGGCTTCGATGATTTCAAAGTTCAAACAAATATGTGGATTTGAATACACATCAAAACTACAACGAATGTTTCACGATATGGGTATATCGAGAGATTTAAATGAGAAATTCCGAAAACACTCGTCCTCCTATGTTAAATCTTTAGATATGGACTTTAATATTCAAGTTCTCTCATCGGGCTCGTGGCCATTGAAAAATTCCTACACTTTTGCTCTACCAAATCAAGTACATTTTTTTTCTAGCATAATTTTTATTTCTCAAAACATAAATTATTTTTCAGTACATGATCCACTATTATTCTTAGAAATAAAATTTGAAAAAGAAATAAACGTTCAGAACTTTAGGGACATGGAATTTAAAGTCTCTTTCTCTCTTCCATTTTTCAGTTGGAGAAATGTTTACAAAAGTTCACATGTTTTTATAATTCACAATTTTGCGGGAGAAAACTGACTTGGATGTATAGTTTGTGCAAAGGTGAATTGCATACAAATTGCTTTAAGAACAAGTACATTATGCAAGTTTCAACAATGCAAATGACAATTTTTCTCTTGTACAATTCATCATTGTCCTATACGATGCAACAATTGCAAGAAGAGACACAAATTGAGTTCAATTTATTAATTCAGGTACATGACTTTTGCTTTACATGTTTTTTCTAAACCAAAAATGATTTATTTAAACCAAAACTGTTTTATTTACACCAAAAATAATTTATTTGATCTACATATAGGTGGTGCAGATTCTATTAAAATCGAAAGCATTCACTACCACGGATGAGAAGAAATTAACAGCTTCTTCTGTTATTGAACTTTTCAAAGATTATAACAAGTAAGTTTTGATATTTTTATTTTTATAATATAATTTTAATTTGACTTTCAATTTTGATATTCCTTCTTTTATTTCTAACTCAAAAAGTAAAGTCTCGCTCTAAATTTTATATTTACATAAATTAATATTTATTTATTATGTAGAATAAAATCACAGTCTTCTTGAAAGAATCAAATTTTTATGATCCAAAAGTTTTAAAATTTCAAAAGCCAGGGTTGCCACGCTTTTGCTCATTTAAAATTCCCTGACTTTTCCAGGTTTTCCAGGTTAAAAAACAGAATTTTTCCAGGTTTTTAAAACTACATTTGTTGACAACAAAAATTTAATTTTGTTTTTCCCTGACTTTCCCTTGAACTCCAGACAAAATTCTTACTTCTTCTTGACTTAAAAAATATTCACATTCAGTTTTTGAAAATTATTACTCAGAAAAATGTTCTATTGTTTCCTTTTTAAATAAATATTTAATCATTATTATTTTTCCATAAGAATTAAGATTTTCAAAAATTTCAAATTCAAACCATTTTGTAATTAAACAATTTTAAAAAATTTTTATAAGAATTATTGGGAAATTCTTCATTAAAATATTTTAGAAAATAAAAACTTGAAATAATTTCAAAAAAGTTCGATTAAACTTTTTAAAAAAAATTAAATCTACACAATTTTCAGTTAAAATTATGAAAAATTCAAACTTTCAAAGATTAAAATTTGAAACCTTTTTTCATTTATCAAAAATTCAATTATTTTCATAAATAATAAAATTTCCACAGGAATTAAATTAATGTAGAATAATATTTTCAAACAAATCTCGAAACAATCAATTATTTAATAAGATTTTTATACAATTCTTCACAATAATTCAATTAATTTCACTAATAATAACAATTTTCATAGAAATTCAATTTTTAAAAAAAATTTTGATGAAATTCTAAGTAAAAATTCAATTATTTTCATAAATAATAAAAGTCATTGAAAAATTTCTATTATGTTTATTATTATTTTAAATTAATTAAAAAATTCAATTCTTTTTTTAACATTTTTATGAAATTTTTTGCAATAATTCAATTATTTGCATAAATAATAAAATTCTTCTCCGGAATTCAATTATTTTTGAAAATTTTATTAAAATTTTTAGCAACTATTCAATTATTTTTATAAATAATAAAATTCATCGCAAGATTTCAATTTTTTTTAATACAATTTTACAGGAATTGCTCAAAAAATGAAATTATTCAAAAAATTTAATTTCAATTCCTTGAAAAAATCAATTATTTAAAAATGTTGTTTTAATTCATTGGAAGAATTAAATTATTTATAAAGATTTAAATTTTGACAAGAATTTTATTAAATTTTTTTGAAAATAATTGAGCTTCTGCGAAAATTATTTTATTTATGAAAATAATTGAACTCTTGACAAGAATTTCATTACAACTTTTGAAAATAATTGAATTCTTGGAATAATTTTTTTAAAATTTTTGAGAAGAATTGATTTATTTTGAAGAATTTTATTACGAACTTTTAAAAAAAATTAAAATATTTCAACAAGTTTAATGAAAATTGTGATGACAATAATTTAAATCGTATAAAGAATATTATCAATGTTTTTGAAAAATAATTAAACTCTCTCGAAGAATTTTATTAAAATTTTATTTAAATATTTGAATCTTGTTGAGAAAGTTTATTAAAATTTTATTGAAAATAATTGAATTCTTGAAAAGAATTTTATCAACAAATTTTTAAATAATTCAAAATTCTTTTGAAGAATTTTAAGAAAATTTTTAAGAATAATTTTATTTTTGGAGAAATTAGATTAAAATTGTATTAAAAATAATTGAATCTCTGTAAAAAAAATTTGATTGAATTGAGAAAAGTTTTTGAAAATAATTGAAATTTTGACAAAAATTTTACTAAAATTTTTGAAAATAATTGAATTTTAAAGAAGAATTTTATTATTTATAAAGATAATTGAAATTTTGACGAGAATTTATTTAAACTTTTGACCATAATTGAATTCCTGCCAAGAATTTTATAACTTTTGAAAATAATTCAATTCTTGAGACGAATTTTAATAATTTATTTCTCTTTAAAGTAATTGAATTCTTTTGTGAATTTTATTGAAATAGTAGATTTGAAAAATAATTAAATTTTGATAAATTATTGAAATTAATTAAATTTCGGCGAAGAATTTTATTAAAATAATTTTGAAAAAAAAATTGAATTGTTAAAAAGAATTTCATTATAATTTTTAAAAATAATTTAATTCTTTTAAGAAATTTTGATTAATAATTTATTGAAAATAATACTTAAGTTCTAATAAATAAATTATAGAAAGGCTTTTTAAAATAATTGAATTTCTTTCATGAATTTTAATAAAAAATTTTAAGAATAATTAGGGGAATGTAGTCAAGGTTGGCCTACTGTCTAGGTAGGCCACTCGCGTTTTTATGTCAAGTTCACTAGCGCCACCTACGCGCATTTTTGTCGAAGCTTGTCTTAGTGAAACCTAACTTTCTGTTCAATTACATTTTCGGAAAATCGAAAATTGTGTTTTCTGTGACGTCGGTACAAAAAAAGCTCAAAAAAAGTTTTGTGCATAATGTGAAAAACCATTAATAAAAGATAAAAAACAAATTGAATCGTCAAGGCAAGTATGCAGAAAATTTGTGGGACTCATGGTTGAAAGGAAAACAAAGTAAAAAATCGAATCCCGAAACGTATTTCTTTATGGTTACAACAATTCGGTAATGTTACTTACTGTCAAGGTCGGCCACTATGTGTTTAAAATGCGCAAAGTTGAGGACGAGCTACTTCATTTGCAAAAACTGCAATTCTGTTTAACTCATAATATAATTGATCATCTTATTAATATTTTTATTTAATTTTATTAATATTTTAGTGCAAAACTTTTTTTTATTTATATTTATTTTTTTATATTGTTTATTGTTATTATTTTGTTATTTCATTAAGTTACAAACTGTAAACAATAAAGAATCAATTTTCCGTAACTCCAAACATGTTATTTTATTTTTTAACGATTAATGCCCTTTGAATTTTAAACATGGCCGACCTTGACTGTAATGGCCAACCTGGACTACAAATTTTTTTTTTTTTAAATCTTTATAACTTTTTCATTTTTAAACCTGTCAATTTACTTTGTACAGAAAAAATGTTCCTATTAAACAGGACTTTCCAACCATATACTTCAATTGTCCAAATTCATTTTTTAAAAAAAGTTATAAACAAAAGTCAAAAAGGTGGCCGACCTAGACTATGTTCCCCTACATTTTTCGTGGAATTTCATTAAAATTGTATTAAAAATAATTGAATTTCTGCGATGAGTTTTTATTATTTATGAAAGTAATTGAAAATTTATATAGAATTTTATTATTTATGGAAATAATTGAATTCCTGGTAAGAAATGTTATTCTTCATCATCAAAATAATTGAATTACGAAGAAATTTTTAAAAAATTTGTAAATTATAGAATTCTTGTAAAATTTTTATTATTTAATTCATTCATTCATTCAAAATTAAAATTTTCTAGAATTCTAAATTAAAATCGTTTGAAGTTTATCTACTTATAAAAATTGTAAACGCAACTCTTTTAAAATTGAATTAATTTTGAAATATTTAAGTAAAATTAGATTTCAAGAATAAGGACAATAACTTTAGAAAACAATAATTTTCTAGGGATTCTGATCAAATTGATAATAAAACTTGAGATCAATTTGTTAATAAAAATTTAGTTCAATTTATAATTAGATCCAAATTTTTGGTATCAATTCGTTTCAGTTTGACTCTATCAAGTTAACAGTGATTGTAATATTGTATTAATAAATAAATAAAATTGTATTGTAAATAAAATTATACAGAATTAATTTTTTCATCCACTTTAGCAAGAAACTTAAGGTCAATTTAAACGTGCCATTGAAAACGGAGCAGAAAGTCGAAGAAGAAAATACGGAAAAACATATTGAGGAGGATAGAAAAATGCTAATACAAGCGGCAATTGTAAGAGTAATGAAGACGAGAAAAATTTTAAAACACCAACAACTTTTACTCGAGGTTTTAAATCAACTGAACACAAAATTCAACCCAAAAGTATCAACTATAAAGGTAAATAAAAAACTGATTTTCTCCCTAAAAAAATTTACACCCTAGAAAAATTTAATAATATTAAAAAAAAGAAAAAAATTAATCGACTTCGAAATATACTTTTCAGAAATGTATCGACATTTTAATTGAAAAAGAGTATCTAGAACGTGAGGAAGAATCAAAGGATACCTACAAATATCTAGCCTAATTATATGTAAATAGCAAAAAAAAGAATTTGACAATTTTTATCTAAAAATATTTATTAATAGACCTAATTTTAATAGAAACAAATTTTTAATACCAAAACTATTCGAAATTCTTCTATTTTATTTTCCCCTGCACGTAAAAGTTTATAATTCATATATAACAAAAGAACAAAATTATTCACAATATAATAGAAAATATATGAACGTTTAAAAAAAAATTTTTTTTCTTAAGCAAAGATAAAATAGTTGAAGTGTTAAATTTAATTTAACCAAAGTGCAATTAGATTTTCCGAGCCTACATAATTAGCTACGTGAGAACGAGCAAAAGGCTGGGGTTTATAATGAAGGCTCAAAATCAGTCACCCGAGACCCTCTCTCTCTCTCTCTCTCTCTCACTCTCTCTCTTTTTAACCATCTCACTCTCTTCGATCTTGGTGCGCGTTCAATTTCAAATTGAATCACTTTTAATCAACAAAATTAAACATAATAATAAAAGGCATTAATTCTTAATTAAAACACGATACTTTTGATATGGTATATCTGCGAATTTGTATAAAATAATGTAGATCGAAATTAAAATAGAATAATTTGCAGAGACTTTCGATTATACTTAATTTATTGTTTAGTTATATAATTAACTCGTCTTGATTTTATACACTGTCGTTCTTTAGCTTCTTGCAGAGAAAGTGAGGAGAGAGAGAGAGAGAGAGAGAGAGAGAGAGAGAGAGAGAGAGAGAGAGAGAGACTAAATTAGTTAAGTTCAAGAGAAGAGAAGAGAAACTTAATTATCATCTTTGAAACAAATAATTAGACCCTTTCCAACGACACGCTCCTACTTAATAAACGGATAAATTTTTGACAGGTAATTATATTGTAAGATATCATACTTTATAATAAAAAGAGGAAATTAATATTTATTATTATCGCTTTAAATCGAGATTAGTATAAGGGCAATGATTTTATTTCTATCTTTTTAATAAATAAGTCTTTGGATTTTATATTTATACTATACTGTATATTATCAGGGTTGCCACAAAAAAATAATTCTATACAGAATAAATGTCTTAATTATAAAAAACAATATTTTCTAAATAAAATCCAAATTAAAGACAAAGTAGTAAGAAAAATATTTCATAAGAAATGAAATTCAACGCAGGATTTCAATTATTTTTAAAACAACCAATAATAAATTCCTCGAAAAAAATTATTCTTAAAAATTTTATTAAAATTCTTTGAAAGAATTCAATTATTTAAAAAAAATGTTTGATATAATTTGTTTATTGGAATTCAATACATTACAGTTCAATACATTTTTAAACAAATTTCTTTGAAAGAATTTAATTATTTTCCAAAATTTTAATAAAATTCTTCGTAACGATTCAATTATTTTCAAAAAAAAATTTAATAATATTCTTCTTAGAAATTTAATTAGTTTAAAAAATTTGTCAAAATTCAATTAGTTTTATTATCTACTATTTCAATAAAATTTCCCAAAAGAATTCCCTGTTATTTATAAAAAATTTTAATTAAAATTCGTCACAAGAATTCAATTATTTTCAACATGAGTTATAAAATTTTTCGGAGAAATTCAATTATTTTGAAAGCAATTTGAATAAAATTTTTGGAAAAAATTTGTCAAAAGAATTTAATTTTAAAGAAACATTTAATTATTTAATAAATTCTTTATTTTTCTATTTAAATAATATAATTCTCATAGAATTTTCTAATAAAAATTGATTTAAAATTGAATTAAGGTTAATATTTTAAATAATAATTAGAATATTAAAAGTATGATTGTATGAAACCATGAAATTTTATATTAGAAATATAATAATTTAATTTTGAAAAGGTATTAGTTAAAAAAAATTTTTATAAAATTCTACACAGGAATTCAATTATTCTCATAAATAATAAAACTTATCGAAGATTTTCAATTATTTTTAATACTATTTTAAATTAATTAATTGAAAAATTCAATTATTTTCACAAATAAAATTTCCCACAAGAATTTAATATTATTTAAAATAAAATGTTCATAATTTATTTATTTATTTATTTATTCATTTACGGGCAATGAGTCCCATTCGTACATAAAGTACTAAAAATAATTAACAGTTATAAAAATGTAAATATATAATATTTATTATATTTAAAAAAAATTAAATACCTATTTAAAACAATGTTTTAAAAAATTCTTATAAAGAATTCAATTATTCTCAAAAATAACAAAATTTTTCACAGAAATTCAATTCTTTTTTTAAACATTTTAATAAAATTTCGCACAATAATTTAATTATTTTCATAAAAAATTATTCCGGAAAATTCAATTATTTTGAGGTATTTTAATAAAACTCTTTAAACATTTTAATAAAATTTTGCACAATAATTAAATTATTTTTATAAAAAATTATTCCGAAAAATTCAATTATTTTGAGGTGTTTTAATAAAATTCTTTACAAAATTCAATTATTTTCATAAATAACAATATATTCATCACAAGAATTCAATTATTTTTAAAAGTAATAAATTTCTTCTTGGAAATTCAATTATTTTCAAACATAGCAAAATTTATCACAGAAATTCAACTCTTTTTAAACATTTTAATACAATTTTTCGCAATAATTCAAGTATTTTCGTAAATAATAAAATAAAATATAATAAAATATAATAAATAAATTTTTTTGAAATAATGCAATTATTCTTTTAGATTTTAATAAAATTCTTCCCAAGAATTTAATTATTTACATGAATAATTCTTCTTGGAAATTCAATATTTTTCATAAATAATAAAATGCTTTTTAGAAATTTAATATATTGTCAGAAATTTTAATAGAATTCTTTGCAAAATTTAATTATTTTTAAAAACTTTTCGCAATTCAATGATTTTTAATATCTACTATATTCATAAAATTTTCGTAAGAATTCAATTCTTTTCATGAATAATAAAAAATTTCTTAGGAATTCAATTATTTAAATTAGAATTTCCGTAAAATTAGTCGAAAGAAATTAATTATTTATTTTTTATAAAATTCTTGGCAAGAATGAAATTTTTTTTATAAATATTTAAATTCCTTCATGAATAAATAAAATTCGTTGCAGGAATTCAATTTATTATCAAGATAAGAAAAAAGTAGATATTTTTGATGAAAATTAGAAAAAAGTCAGAAATATAAAATATAATTTTTTCAGTTTTGTGAAGTATATAAAATGAGTAAAAAAAACTAAAGAAACTAAAAACCCCCAAAAAAAAACTCTAAAAAAAAATTTTTAAAAAAATTAGGAAAATAAATAAAAAAAAAGCAAAAAAAATTTTAAAAAAACTCTAAAACGAATTTTTTTAGTCTTCAAGTTTAATTTTCCGATAGCTACATTTTTACTACTTTTTTAGTTTAAAAGCTATTTTTTTAAAATTAATTATTGAATGCGAAGTCTTCTTTTATATCAAATGTTAATAATATGAAATATTATTAATAAAATAATAATTAATACAAGGTTATTTAGATTTAGAGCGTATGCGAGAGAAAAAACTCGATAAAGGATAAGCGACAAGTGTGAAAAATATACAAAAAACTAATTTAGTCTTTAATGGAATTTTGAAATTTTTCATAAAGGACAAAATATTACAGAGAGAGTGTATGTAGTCTCACGAAGAAAAAAGAAATTGGGGTTATCGATGTTTAATGCAACTTTTGCTTCTGGATGAAGTCTAGAGTATCCGTAAACAGGAATTTCAAAAAAGACAAGACTGAGTCTCGATCGATGAGTCTGCCTGAAGGCTTCCCCCTTATCTATATGTCTCATTCATTTCTCCCACTTTATACGAAGTAAAGTTTTCCAAAACTCTACAATGGATCTCACAAGTCAATATTTAATCCTAAAGTATAGTCTCTCTCTCTCTCTCTCTATCCGGTTTTAGAATCATCTATATATAAAAATGCCAAAAAAAATTTTTCATTATCCTACACACTAAAAAAAAAGTTTTACTTTTAGCCTGTTTTCGAGGCTGAATTTAAGGTGTAAACGGAGTCAGCCCCATTAAACAAGGATAGACTTATGTGAAATACATGGGCTGAATTTAAGGTGTAAACGGAGTCAGACTTTTTTTTTCCTGTGTATTTTTCTTCTCGGTTTTTAATATTTTCGACAATATTTTAATCTAGTCTAAAAATAAAAATTTTAAACTACAGTCTCTATATCCGATTTTGGAATTAATGTTTTAAAAAAACGTGTTATTTCCTACGTGACGTTCGTGACCTATTTTCGAGAAGTAATTTTTGTTTTTGTCATAGCAAAATTTTTTTTCTGCAAATATTATAAAAATAATAATAATTTTTGAACAGAAAAATTATTTTTTTAGCTAACTTTTTTATAATAGAAAATTTTTGCGAGAATAATGTCATCGTTTATTATAATAGTTAATTCTGAAAATAGTCTTTTGAAAATAGCTGGTAAATCGAGAACAACGTTTGTTTCGTTTCTCCCCTATTTCTTGGCGGTTTTTCTTTTGTGCCTTTTTCTTCCTTCTTCAGGTCTCCTGTTCTCTGGGAGAAAGTCTGATGACATTGTAAAATATGCAAACCCTCGCGGTTAGTTACTCGACGAAGCACGCGCATTGCAACCCTTATATATATACTTTCTCTCTCTCTCTCTCTCACTCTCTTTCCATTTTCAAATTTTCAAGTAAGATGTGTTTATTTTTTGAATAAGACATTTGACACACACACACGCGGGGAAAATTTTTTCATAAATTAAATTTATCCTAAACTTGACGATTTCTTTTTAATCACAATTTTTCTAAGGATATCAAATTGAGACAAAAAATTTATCAAAATGTTGAAACGTTTCAACATTTTGATAAATTTTTTGTCTCAATTTGATATCCTTAGAAAAACTGTGAAATAATTGAATTTTTACAAAACGAATTTTATTAATATTTTTAAAATAATTTCTGAGAATTCCTAAGAAAAATTTTATGTTTTATAAAAATAATTGAATACTTGCGAAAAATTTTATAAAAAATTTTAAGAATAATTAAATTTTTTTGAAAAATTTTATAGAAAATTTATAAAAAATGTATTAATAATTAAATTCCTGTGAAAT